CTGTGTCTGTGTTAATTGGTTTCCCTTTTCTTTGTTGAAGAGGGTCTGTGCAATCCTTCTGCCTAGTCCGCCATCTTGCCAGAACCCTCCCCTTTACTTCATTTCAAAGGCATTACCCACTCTAGTCCCTGAAGTCATTATTCAGATGGGATCTGCTTCCAGAATGACCTGATATTAGCTCAAGTTTCTATGTGTTGCTTTCCATGGAAAACAAATGAGAGGATGTTCCAGTATCATGAACTAAACTAAATGGCCACAGATAGCTTTTTAAGGCCCAAATTTTAGGGTAACAAAATTTTATCTAACAGACAATATTTCTGGGCAAATATCATATTACTACTTATTAATATACAGAGAACTTCCTTTCCTAGGAGAACACATATTAATACAACTAGCAGGTATTGCCATGCCTTGTTTAAAGCACCAAGCAGGAAATATTCGCTGTAGTGCTTTTACCCTTTGTGTCATGAAAAGCACAAGCACAAATGTCCAAGCTTCAAATAATTGAAAAAGGACTGTGCCTTTGATATGAATATAAAGGTATTTTGTTAAAGGATGATAAAACCCAGAGGAGCAAAGGAGTTTAAGATGGAGGCAAATCAGAAAGAAAAAAGCCAGGAGACCTGACTTGAGATTCTAGACTCTTACTCCAAAGTCACACCTCCTCTCCCACCAAGGGATGAAGAAGAGAGGAGGAGGAGGAGGAGAAAAATCACTGGGGAAAAGAGAATACTTTATTGAAAAGCTTATAAGGAACAAAGACCCCATGGAAATTTTTTATGTGTTGTTACAAGGTTTGGGGAGAAACTTCTAAGGCTCTGCCCAGATTCCAGTCTGAGACCAAGTTAATACGTACTGACACAGGCGATCAGGTCATGGAAGATGTCCTTGGGGAAGAGAGGGTGTTCCAGCCCCCGGAAGTAAAGCTTCAGAACGCCAGCTATGGAGTCCATGTCATGATCATTCTGGTCCCCAGCCAGGGGGTCCTCTCCTGGGGATAGACAACCCCCCAAAATGGATAGAAAAAGTGAGAAAGGCAAAAAACACAGAGGATGAGGCAGCAGTGTAGTGAGGAAGGGGTGACCTATTTGTGCCCTAGTCCTGGTCCATCAGCTCTCTGCACAGCATGGTGGCTAAATGTGGGGTGGACCAGGGAATAGATGAAGCAAAGCACAGGCTCAGGGGCCCCAGGGCCAGAGGAGGGGCAGGAGAGTCCATCAACATAAACTCCTCTGTGCCAGGCTAGCTCGGGAATTCCCTCTGGGCTGGGGACGGCTGGATTCTCTCACAAGAATCATGAAACCAGGCTGGGACTGAGCCCCTGGGGGAGGAAAACGAGGCCAGGGAGGCTAGCTACTCCTGGCCCGCAACAAAGGACACCTACTTACAGGAGAACAATCATGCCGGGGCTCCCTATGGAAAATTTCATATCAGATGTAATTAGATTTAATGATAGGACCAACCTCAAATTGAAACTATATATATCCATTACAGTGACGGAAATTGCCAAAGCTTGCCCATTACCTTAATTGCCCACAAGATAATAAATGGGCTACGATGAACAGGCGCATTAGCCTTGATATTAACTGCCACCAAGGGTTCCGGATGAAGCCATAAACTGCCCAGCTATCATAGTTAACTTCTTGGGTTTCAGTAGACCATCGCAGGAGAGAGGCAGGAAGAATGGGGCTGAGGAAGGAAGGAGGGAGCTGGGATGTGCCCCAGTGGTTTTTCCCTGCACGGGCAAGGGGCCAGTGTCTACAAGAGAGAAGGTGCCCTGGCTGAAGAGGGAGGCAAGCTGGTTTCCTAACCTCTGTGGACCTTCCAGGGACAAAGGGTGAGGTCAATACAGGGGATGAAGAGGGAGGCAGAGCAAACATTTAGCTTATCTTCAAGGCTGTTTCCTCACCCCTCTCAAAGGCATTTTTGATGTCATTCACTTCCACCTGGGATCCTGACACCCGGAAAATTCCTTCATGCTGTAGTCCTGGAAAGCAGACAGGGAAAATAATCAAGGAGAAGAAAAAGCACTCACAAACATAACTCCAAGCTCAGTCAACTGTCTCCCCTAGCCAGTGTGTACTTAACCACTCAGGAGATCTCACTTCTCTTCTTTAGGCCAAATGACAAAAGCATGCACAAGGGTGTTGGAAAAATCACTGTGGTGACTATGAGGCATTAGCCTAAAGAAAGAACTGAGCCAGTGATTTAAAAGCAGGTGTACACACCTGATCTCACTTTTGACCCCGAGGGAGACTATGAGGCAAATTCTTTCCTTTGCCTTGGCCCCTCTATTCCCACCTGCAAACTGGTGAAAGGAACCCCTGATACTATCTTATTACCCAGAGTCAAGATGGGAAACAAAGGTATGGTAGTAAGACACTAGAGACCACTGGAGGAGTTTCAAAAGGTCTGAAAAATATACATGCTACTCTGTACTTACTGCTTTAGCTATTTCAACCCTCTTGACTATTCTAAGGGGCCATGCTTTCAATTTTAATGAAAAAAAGATGTCAACACATGAGTAATCAGTCATCAGATATCATTGCCAGACATTGTGTTAGGCACTGGTCCTTGACTACAGCTTTACTCTAAAGAAAAATGCATGGATGCTATACTGTGACAACATGCATGAAAACGATGTCTTCTTAGATTTTAGTAGAGTACAAGTAATCACAACAAATAATGCTTTTTCCTAGGTATATATCCAAAACAATAAAAAACAGGAACACAAACAGAAACGTGTACACAAATGCTGACTGCAGCACTGATCACAATAGCCAAAAGGTGGACAACCCAAGTGTCCATCAACACTTGGATAAGCAAATGTATACATACAATGGAATATTATTCAGCCATAAAAAAGAATGAAGTTCTGACACATGCTATATATGGATGAATACTGAAAACATGCTGAGTGACATAAGTCAGTCACAAAAGGACAAATATGTATAATCCCACTTATATGAAATATCAAGAACAGGCATGTATACAGAGAGCAAAGTTTATTAAAGTGGCTGCCAGGGGTGATGGTGGTGATAGTTGCACAATATGAAAAAACTGATCAATGAATTGTACATGTAAAAAATGATGAATCAGCAAATGCTTTGTGTGAGATACATATGTGTGTGTGCATATATATATATGTGTGTGTGTGTGTATATATATATATATGCACACACACATACATATATAATTTATTTTTAAAATAATACATTGTGTTTTTGGTGAAAGTTTATATAACAAATTAGGCTGCCATGTAACAATTAGTACACACAATTTTCAGAGACCTTGGTTACATTTTTCATGCTGTTTTAACATTCTCATTAATGCCCTCTGCATGTTTTGCTTCCAGTAATCTGGCTTCCCTGTCCGCTTACCCTTTCACATGTGCTTTAAGAAACTGTTGACCATTTGGTCTGATATACATGTGTATGTCTATCTATCTATACACACGCATATATACACACATACATATGTATGTATGTAAGGAGCTCCGGTGGTGCGGTGAGTAAGGCATTTGGCTGCTAACCAGAAGGTCAGCAGTTCAAACCCACCAGCTGTTCTGCAAGAGGAAAATGGGACAATCAACTTCTGTAAAGAGTACAGCTTTGGAAACCCAGTGGGGTCACTATGAGTCAGACCTGACTTGATGACAGTGAGTTTGGTTTGGTTTGGTATATGTATATGTGTGTGTACATGTGTGTGTATATATGTATGTATGTATACATACATACACGGGAGCTCTGGTAGCATAGTGCCTAAGGCACTTGACTGCTAACCAGAAGGCTGGCGGTTCAAACCCACCAGCCACTCCTTGGAAGGAAGATGGGGCAATCTACTTCTGTAGTGATACTACCTCAGAAACCCAAGGAGGAGTCGCTGTGAGTTGGGTCCGACTCGATGGCACATAACAACAACAACATACACACACACACACACACACATACATGCACACACATACATATTTAACCACAAGAAAACAAACAAAAATAATGCTTGTATAGTACTTTGCTGCTAACAAGTGCTTTCATAGAAACAAGGCATCTGGTCCTCACAAGAGCCATGTAAGGTAGGGGTTATCATTTTCTAGATGAGGGGACTGATTTGAGTGATGACTGGCCTTGGGTTATGTAGGTGTAAGAACCAGATGCAGGCCTCAAACCCAGGCCTTCAGATTGCAGTCACGTACTTGTTCCTTATACCTGGCTGCCCACTCCAGGCCTGTGGGGTCTATTAGAGTGTACATGCAGAGAGGGTGAGGGCCATATTTGTTAGTCTGAACAAGGATATGGTTATTACAGAGATACATATATACTGCCAAACCGATAAGAAATCTACTCATTATTCTGGGTCTGGGGGTTGGACTGAACCGGCATCTCAGATCCCATCAGGACTGCCCAGCTTCTCTCAGGAGCCCTGTGCCTCCATCTGGGGAATTCGGTCAAAATCTCCCTCTTAGGGTACTATGCCACAGAAACCTCGACAAGTCAGAGAAATCTAAAATAAACTTATTTTTAAGAAAACAAAATATAACAATGCTACATTTTACCCACTGTTTCGGGGCTACTATCCCGATGAGGGGGCAGCTGGATTCTATCAGCTTGTCCTTAGGAGGTAAACCATGTAGCTCAAGATTGAACTCTTGAATCCAATTGAAACAACATTAAGAAGTAAGCAGGGAGAATATAATTACCCAGCTTGTAATAGGAATTGAGTTGCCTGCTCCTCTATGGGAATCTCTAGAATATTCTTCACAGGATAGCAGGCAATGTTACAAACCCATTAGTACCACTATAATAGTATAATATTAGTTACCAATGGGATGTAACAGGCAGATAATGTTGTTCAAACATAGAATGTAAATAGCAAGTGTTCTCAGGGAAACAGCCACATACTTAATGAGTTGTCAAAAAACGGAGTTTTAATATAAGGAAATGTCACCTCAGGGACTGGGCTACTTGGGTGTTCTAGACAATCAAGCCTTCTGTCCCAACATCGTGAGAGATGGGCATTTTGGCACTTCTTGGCAGAGCAGACCATTAAGAAAAAGCATCCATGGCCCACGGGCCCAGGACAAGAAGAAAACAGACACTGAGCTGAGTGGAAATCAAGCAGCAGGACTGAGACACAGTGAGTTCCCTTTTGGTCTGATTTCCACTTCCCCTCAAGAACCTAGTGAGTTCATGTTAATGGAAGAGAAGCATTTCAAAAAAAAGAGGGTGAGAACGATTGCACAACTTGAAGAATATAATCAATGTCACTGAGTTTTATGTGTAGAAATTGTTGAATTTAGTGTATGTGCTACTGTGTACATTCTTAACAACAACAAAAATAAAATCAATTGTGAAAAAAAGGCTGAAGGAAACAAAAGAAGAACCGATGGTTTAGAAGGGCCACTGTGTGTGCTTGCTCAACAGACGGAATGTTTAGAGCACCTAATGCGATGATTCGGGAGCTCTGGTAGCATAGTGGCTAAAACACTTGCCTGCTAACCAGACGGCTGGCGGTT